TCCGATGGCTGAACGCTTTTGGGCAGAGAAGTCGTAGATTCTGAAGTGTTGGACGGAGCACCCCAGAAACATCCTCAGCCACCCTCCACAATCTCCGACGCCACCATCAACCGGCTCCTCCGAGTGGAAGTCAACATCGACTCTGCTCTCCCACCCTCGCTTCTATGCCGTGTAACGGCTTTCCAATGGTAAAGCCCCATGCTCTGACGCAATCCAAGCCGAAATCTACAAATGCAGCGGCCAACGCCTGATGGGCCAAATCACGACGTCATTTCAGGAGATTCGACGCCGTGGATAAGTTCCGCGGAACTTCAAGGACGCGATAAAGGGACCAGCAACTCTGATAACCACAGAAGCATCTCGCTACTCACCATCGCCTGGAAGATCCTTGCCCGCCTCCTCCTCAATCACCTCAACGGACACCGCCGCAAAGCCAATGTGTTTTCCAATGACACCAGGGCATCACTGACATGGTCTTTGCCGCTCGCCAGCTACAACAGAAGTGCCAGGAGATGCAAGCTCATCTCTACGCTACCTTCGTAGACTTGTGGAAAATCTTTAATGCGGTAAATCACGAGGGACTATGGAAAATCATGCAGAAATTCGGCTGTCCTGAACGATCCATACACATAATACGCCAGCTCCACGACGGGATGATGGCACGCGTCACGAGCATCGGCACAATCTCCGAGGCATTTGTAGTGACTAATGAAGTAAAGCAGGACTGCTTTCTCGTGACTAACCCCTTCAGTCTCATGTTCACTGCTATGCTGATTGACGCCTACCCTGATGAGCGTCCTGAGATGCGCATGGCCTACAGAACTGATGAACATTTTCTCAACTGCAAGCGCACGCAGGCCCCAACGCAACTGTCTGCGACTGCAGTTCATGACTTGCTCTTCGTCGACGACTGCACGCTCAACACCAGGACCGAAGTAGACATGTGACGGAGCATGGACCTCTTCGTCGCCGCGTGTGCCAACATCGACCTAGCAATCAATACGGACAAAACGGTGATCATGCACCAACCGTAACCCAATGTGCAGCTTTGCACGCTTCCTCGAATCCCTGTCGACGGTAACTGGCTCAAAACTGTGGACAATTTTGCTTATCTCGGAAGCGCACTTTCCAACAGCACCAGAATCGACAATGAGGTTGCCTCCCGGATCTCCAAAGTTAGCCATGCTTTCGGCCGGCCGCAGAACTCTGTGTGGAATCGTCACAGCGTCCAATTGAATACCAAACTGAAGATGTACAAGGCCGTCGTCCAGACGACACTTCCCTATGCAGCGGAGACTTGGAACGTATACTCCAACCATGGCAAGAAACTCAACCACTCCCGTCTCAGCTGCCTTCGCAGAATACTAATGCTGAGGTGGCAAGACAGGATCCACGACATGGAAGTTATAAAATGGTCCGGCATCCTTAGAATTTGCAGCCATGTTGAGGTAACTGCGGCTATGTCGGAACGGACATTTGGTGAGGATGAAAGAAACATGACTGCTGAAACAACTCGTCTATACTGATGTCTTCATCGGTGCTCGCCGACCAGGAGGACCAAAAGGACTCTACAGGGACACATCGAAGAATTCTCTTAAGGTATTGCGTATCAATAGAGAGGCCTGGGAGGACCTCTCCCAGAACAGACCGGCCTGGAGAAGAGAAGTGAAGACTGGCGCTGCCGTCTACGAAGCAAATCGGGTCGTCACCGCCAGAGCCGAACGGGGGGCACGCGAATCACAAGTGCCTCGCCTACACAGTGCCAACCATCCGCAGCGTCCAACATGTCCCCGCTGCCAACGCGCACGGATCGGTCTCGTCGGACACCTTCGGACCCTATGCTCTCTCAACTCGGCAACGTCTACCTCTTCTCCCACTCTCGCTCCTGTCGCAGACCCGGCGCCGAACGTCACCCCCGTCACAGTCTCTTCCCCGCCACCACCACCATCCGCCTTGCCTTAACCCCTGCATCGCCACCACCACCACCACCACAACTGCCAGGTCTTCATGCACTCTCCCCAACAACCGGAATACGCTTGATGTCCCGTCACCTTCTGCCATCACCACCAGCGCTCCCGCCTCCAGCGATGCGGACTCGGTTCATATCTATCCCGATTGCGACCGAATATTCCGCTCGCACTTCGGCCTGGTCGATCACTGGCAAATCCATCGCACGGAGACTGGCGAACCAGTGCCTTGCGCACCAAACTACGCTCATCATACCCGCCTCAACTGCCCTCACAGCCCCCGTACATTCGCTCATCACAGGGGCTTACTTGGCCATATGCGCATTCACGAAAACCTGCGATAGATGACTGCCGGTTACATCACACCCCCACCACCAGCACCCGCACCACACATCGACATCACCACTGCAATCACTCGATTGCCTCATCCCACGCAAGTTGGAAGTGTTCTTCTCGGCCCCATCTCCATGCCTGAGACTATCACGGTGCGCCAAACGCCGTGGCCGAGAAGATTGCAGAATGATGCCTCAACTCAGTCTACGCAGTCTGCTCAGTTGTGTGTGCCTGTGTGGAGTGGCGGACTAGTGGGCTGAGGGTCAGGCTGTCACGGCTCCTTCTTAAAGTGACCTGTGCCACTCTAACTCATGTGAGGAATGTGTGTTACTTTATGAGTAGTGCCTTTCATCTGCCGACTGAGTGGTTGCCCAGACTTTGAAGGATGATTGCCTAGGCAAATGCTGGGCTGTATGTCACCCCTCTGGGCTTTAAGGATTGTGTGCTTCTGCTATGTCATGATTCAGCAAACCCGGGCCCTCGCAGCCTGGTGTGCGCTGGCAGTTCTCTGCCGGTCGATGCACTTGCCCTCCCGCTGGGTATACAGACCGTGCGCACGATTGCCCGGTGACTCGCGGCATCCTTCTCTTTCTGGCCCATTGTTATTGTTGGTCAAAATCCCAGTCAGGTATTTGTTGTGGACCAGGGGATGCGGTGGCGCGCCTAGGTGCGGGTCCAGACGCACAGGCCACCCGCTTCCTCTCCCGCCTTCGGCCCTCTTGGCGCCGGACCCAGGTAGGGGAGGAGGTAGTGCGGCGGATACTGTGCAAGTCTACTGCCACTACCACAAACTAATCGACGCCCAAGTCGCCTTGCCTTGCTGTGGAGCACATGGTGGACATAATCGGATGCCCTAATTGAACTTCCTTTTCTTTATGTCTGCTTTATAACTTTCAACATTAACTGTTGCTGTTCACATTTTCTGCAGTGTTTTTTGCAATAATAGTAGTAAACTGTACTACTTACCTGTAAGTATGCTTGAAAGTGCTATTCCGACTATTCTATCCTATTTGAGTTTTATCGTGTTATATTTATTTATGGATTATAGGGAATGTGTATAGAAAATCTGAGTGACTTTTTCAAAATACATGAAATGATAATTTAGGCCTGGATGGAACTCTTACATCTGTTGGTTTGTCGACAGGTGACTCGAAATTATTCCTTTTATCCGACCCCGTAAGTCTATGATTATGGCTGGAGAAATAAATGCCGAAATTGCTATTTCCCTAGAACAATTTTCCTGCAAACAGTTCGTTAATTTTTATGAGACAAAATTTTCCTTCGAGTCGTGTATTTCTCTAGCTGATTGGTAGTGTCAAATGAAAAGGACTCTCATGTATCCCTCTTCTCATTCGATTACTTGGCACGCATTTGATCTGTCGCCCTTTTGGATATACACTTGACCAAGTCTTGCTACACTCCATGGGTATTGTTTTGAATGCAAGACATTTGCTTTGGTGGTATCCTATGTGATTTCTATAATTTAGGATTGGAAATAATGGTATACGTCGTTTCTCTTTGTTTTACCATTGGGTCATCAAGTCGATTTCATCTAACAAGTCAAAAGGCTAGCAACTGCTGCCTTTTTAAAAAGATAGTAGTTTGAGTAATTTTTTGTCCCAGGACTGATCTAGCTTTTAAATTATTGATAACTAAGCAGTCAAAAATGATTTAGCTGACTGGACTGCCCAAATAAATAGGGAATTAGTCGAGGCTATCGAATGCACGCATACTGGTGCCCTCTTGTGGTAACTGCTAGCGGTTTTCAGTCATTGCAATGGAAGCCAACGGTGGGGATATTTTATTTTTTTGTGAACTACGATTAAACGTATAAAGTAAAAATGGCAAACACAACAGTTCTCAGCGGACCATATCACCGGAGATTTCATTAAAACACCAAATCAACTAGTTTTGCCCTCTGAGGTAGCCGCTCTACGGTCTTTACTTCTTCCAAAATAAAATCCTGGATCTCTGAGGTGACGTTGTCAATAATATCCGAGAGCATGTCCACTGACACCGCCGCGGCACACCCTTGCACGAATTTGTCCACTATCGGTTCTGAGTTGGCAGTTGCAAGCTTGGCCGGCTAAAGCAAAAAAGGGGACCATAATGTTAAATTATTATTTGCGCTCTTTTTTGTGCCACAAACCACTGACATATTTTGACGAGACAGGAAGCCGTAGATAACAGTAATACACTCTGTTCGCCTGGATATGAAGTTCGCTTTCACATCCACTTTTAAAAACTACGATCTACATCCTAAGAATGACAGAAAAACAGTTGAGACATCTGCTTGCGAAAATCCAAGCCTTATGTGTCATTTGACTTAATGGTCCAAGAACCTGGCAGTCTGATTTAGGTAATGTTTTTTTCGCTCATATATGCAAACCGCCTGTATTTTTGCCTGCAAATACCCCGGTTTTTCTAACAGGCTAACGCACTAATTTTGATGGAGAATGCACTTTTTGTGGGTCAGCTTATTTAGCATAGCGAAATGTAAAATGCCTAAATGAGTCTATTTTTGCATACAAATTACCAATAGAAGAAAAAAACGTACAATAGTGCTTTCTAATTTATTTTTTTTGTCAGCATTCCTCCATTTTAATTTTTAAATGAATTATCTAAATGATTAACCGGACATTTTCGAATGCATGTTATGCATTCATGTAATCAGGTTCGGCTGTTTTTTTCAGCAAAACTGGGCGTTTTTTTAAAAGAAAGAGACGGATCTCTCCGCGCCGACCTATCCTCCTTTTCTCAGTGTGACGGTTAAACACTGTTCAAGCCTAATTTATGTGTCAACCTATTGCAGCTAGTTGCACAGAGCTGGTACGCCCGCTGTGCGCCAAGAATTGTCTTGGACTCTCAGAGACTCCAATTCAAACAGATTGTCCAGATTTGGATAAAAAGAAGGGAGATCGGCTGACGTTTTGATTACAATATGTGCCGTATATCAGGAAAATCTAAGTGCCGTCGGTTGGCAAAAAGACGCAAATGAAGGTGAACTATTGGCTACCACAGAAAGAACTCGGGTTAATACATACACCGTACTATGTTGGTTTTCTACTGATAATCCTTATAATCACTTGCGCGAGTCCATCTGGACGAAATGAACTGTTTGGAGGGTACATATTTCTTATTTATATGGATTACTGTGTAGAAGATTTCATTTTTTGAGTTAGTGCACAACGGGCCGTTTCTCGAAACCGGTTTGTAGAGAAGAAAGTTTTCTTCGCTTTGTTACTTTAGGAAACAGGACACTGGTGCAACGTTTTGTGAACACAGCGAGCCTATTTACAGAGACGTGAATGTATATGTGAAAAAAAGTAATATGCGGTTTTACAGTTTTAAATGTAAACGCAAAGACATGTAGTGCTATAGACACCCATGGGGCAGAAAGCGCCTCCAGAACAAAATTTAGAAATCGTATTTTCTTGATACAAAATTAAAATAAACGAAACTATTGCTTATTAAAAGGCAGTCGAACGATGATTTACTTAAGTGGCGGCAGACGGTTAGACCTGCTCTGAGCCAGATGTCAGCGTGCTATCGTATTTGGGAATATATTGCACGGCAGGATAATTTTATGGATTTTAGAGTTTTAAGGGCTATTAAGTATTTATTACATTTCAGCGTCACTGTACGTATCTTATTTGGTTGCACAAGGACAAGAATGAAGCATTTCTAAAAATTGTCCAATATTTTCCTTGCCATAGATTTCAGTATATCTGAATAAGAAATTAGCAAGCGGAACGCTTTCCAGCATTGCGTAAAATCGTTCTTAGATCTGATTCCGGGTGGCGTAGTTCCAGCAAATTTTTAAGAAAAATTGACATGCGAAGAGCAATAACAGGCAGAGACTTCCATCCCCAGGAAAATCAACGCCAAAATTGGACAGAGAAGCATGTGAGCAAACGATCTTCGTTAAAGGTTAGCTGTGATGGCGAGCCTAAAACTTCACTATAGACTTCAGCAGCTTGTGATTACTTTATTCTAGCATGTTGTTTATAGGTCGTAACTATAACTAAACCCTTCAACAAAGCATAGACTAGGTGCTGAACAACGGGGCGCATGGCCTTTAAAGGTAGGTATGAAGTCAGTTTTGGGCATGTTTAGCTGAACCATTAAGAAATTCAGGCCTGCAATAGTCTAATGGTATTTTGAATTCGTGATATCTACTCCATGATTATACAGTGGTAGCCATTATGTTGACTCCAAGATTCTAGTTTGACCGCCTTCAGGACAGGTTTGCATGTCACACAACCGACTTTTTCAAAAGCAGCGAGGGGATTGCACTCTCCTTAATTTTACTGCTCGCATAACCTGTCAGTCGGACATCCTCAAAAATAGATCATACGACAAGGCAAAACCTCCCAATCTCGACGACACCCTCCTGGGATGCACATTACCTGGCTTAAATCAGCCCGAATATGGTAAGGATCAGCTTAAGGAATTGGCCGCATTGTAAGTAAAAAAAGCACAAACGCTTTATAATAAAATTACAAGGCCAAAATTTTGAGGCGAATGCCAATAAGGTCTCATTGACCACGGCAGCCTTCGCCAGTTGACTGTTACACCTATAGCAACAAAGAATGCAGTGGGCTGGGAGGGGTATCTGCGGCTGAGGTTCACTCATCATTTTTAGATAACAGTGAAAAGTGATGAACTACCTGCCTCATCAAAAATGCCACGAAAAAAAGGCAGCAGTTCTGTGTTATTCGAGTGATGTACAGACTTTTCCACGATAACCGTCGGGAGATGGCACCCAAAAGATCCGCCTAACCAACGCAGCATGTCTTACGAGAAGGTGGTAATAGGGGTTTTATGGACGGTGGCTGCTCGGGATGTACGATACTAGCCGAAGAAAATGCATATTTGAACAGGTGATTGATCGAAGTATGTCCGCTCTTCGTTCCGTTATTACAAAATGGGTCGCCAAAGCAGTATAGTGGTAACGGATGAGTGGAAGGCGTATAATCGCCTTCCCACATAAGGTTATTTACATTTCTCTGTTA